TGACTGAACTTAACTATGTAGATTCCATCCCCCCAGAGTAAAAATTGATTCAACACATATCACATAGTTAGCATGAACTCTAATCAAACTGTGCCATGTGACCCAAGGCTCTAGACGTAGAAAAATATTCATCAAACAGAATATTCCAAGGGCTCAGAGCTTATTTTCAGGGAACTGACTGAGTACAGTTCTCAAGACAGGCTTTAGTCATGTCCAAGGTTTTTACAGTCTAGGCCTGTTGAATTAACTCTGCTGCACAATTGTCTCCCCCGCCCCTCCCCACCCCCCGCCCAACTCCCCCGTCCAGTCTCTCCTCCCTCCTGCCTTCCTTCCTTCCTTGCTTCTTTCTGTCCATGTGTCTGTCCGTCCCTCAGGCTGCAGTGCAGTGGCATCATCTCAGCTCACTGTAGCCTTGACTTCCCAGGCTCAAGGGATTCTCCCACCTCAGCCTCCTCTATAGCTGGGACTATAGGTGCACACCATCACATCTGGCTAATTTTTGTATTTTTTTTGTAGAGACGGGATTTGCCATGTTGCCCAGGCTTGTGTGCACTCCTGGGCTCAAGTGATCTGCCCAAAGTGGCGGCGCTAAAGGCGTAAGCAACAGTGCCTGGCTTCTTTTCATTTTCTCAGCAGTGTTTTAGAGAACTTAAGTTCCTAATTTGATTAACTCCATTTTATTAAGTTTTCTATTAAGATCTGAGCTCAAATCTAAGAACCGTTTGCCCAACTCAGGGTCATAAAGATTTTCTACTGTGTTTTCTGTTAGAAGTTTTTAAGTTTAAGGTTTCAGTATTTAGGTTCATGATCCATTTTGAGTTAATGTTTGTTTATATATATATACATATATATATAGTATGAGTTATTAATATAGGTTCATTTTTTTTAATTTGGATACTGACTGTTCCAGCAGTATTTGTTGAAAAAAACTCTTCTTTTTTGAATTTCCTTTACACTTTTCTTGAAAATTAATAAACATATGTGTGTGTATCTCTTTCTAAACTCTATCTTTCACTGTGCTTTATTTCTGTTTTTTTGTCAAGTATATCTGTCTTTAAGCCAATACCACATTATCTTTTTGACCGAAGCTTTAAAGTAAGTCTTGAAATCAAGTATTATGAATTCTCTAGCTTTGTTCTTTTCAGAATTGTTTCATATTTCTATGTAACTTTTACAATTGGTTTGTCATTCTGCTCCATAAGAAGCTGGAACTTTGATTAAAATTTCCCTGAATATATAATTTAATTTATGGAAGATTGCTATCTTTAGCATATTTAGTCTGAATGTAGATCCGTTAGCACTGTATCATCTTTGTATTTATTTAGATCCCCATTTATGTGGTGTTTAAAAATTTTGTCTCATCAGTGTTTTGTACTTTTCAGCATACAGGTCTTGCACATCTTTTGTCAAATTCATCCCTTTATGATTTCATAATTTTGACTATTAAAATGGTGTTTTATATTTCAATTTCTGATTATTACTAATAAATGCAGATACAATTAATATTTATATGTTGATTTTGTATCCAGTGAGCTTGAGAAACTTTTATTCTGGTAGCTTTTTTGTAGATTTTGCAGGATTTTCTATATATCTTCTGAAATCAAACACAGTTTTACGTATCTTTTCCCTTCTGCATGATTTTTGTATCATTTTTGGGCATTATTTTGCTCTCCTAGAACTTGTACTTCAGTAAAATATTGAATAGAAATGGTAAGAATGGACATCTTTACTTTGTTCTGGATCTTACTGGAAAGCATTTGCCCTTTAACCATTAAGTGTATAGTTAGCAGTAGGTTTTTTTTCTTCTATTATAGTTTATAAAATAATTTATTTATTTATTTATTTTGAGACAGAGTCTCACTCTGTTGCCCAGGCTGGAGTGCAGTGGCACGGTTTAAGCCTACTGCAACCTCCACCTCCTGGGTTCAAGCAGTTCTCCTGCCTCAGCCTCCCGAGTAGCTGGGATCACAGGCTCCTGCAATCGTACTGGGCTACTTTTTATATTTTTAGTAGAGATGGGGTTTCACCATGTTGGCCATCCTGGTCTTGAACTTCTGACCTCAGGTGATCTACCTGCCTTGGCCTTGCAAAGTGCCGGGTTTATAGGCATGAGCCACTGCGCCCAGCCTAAGTCTTTTATTCTAAAATCATGAATTAATACTGAATTTTGTCACTTACTCTTCCTGAATTTACTGAGGTTATTAAATGTTTTCCTTTTTTTAAATCTGTTCATAAGGTGGATTACATTGATTGATTTTTAAAATTGATTTTATCTGCTTGCTCAACTGCATTTTTCTGTGATAAACCCCTTTGCCATAGAATACTAATCTTTCTTATCTATTGCTGAATTTAATTTGCTGGAACTTTATAAGATTTTTGCTTCTGTGTTCATGAGGAATATTGGTCTGTGGTTTTCCTTTCTTGTGATACCTTTGTTAGGCTTTGTTAGGTCATACCAGTCTCATAGAACAAATTAGGAACTATTCTCCTCTCTTCAAAAGAGTTTATATAGAATGGTAATTTTTTATTCCAGAAGTGTTTGTTTGAATTCACAGGTGAAACCTGGGCCTAAAATTTTCTCATAAATGAAATAAAAATTTAGAGCTGAATAAAAATTTACATCTGTGAAAATTTTAAATTACAAATTCTAGTTCTCTGGAGCCAGTCAGATTTCTTATTTGTCAGAATGAGCTTTGGTAGTTTATGTCTCTCAAAGAATTCATCCAATTTGTCAAATTTAGTGACAAAATTGTCCATAACATTTCTCCATTATCATTTTAATGTTTGTAGTGATGTCACCTCTCTCATTCCTGATATCAGTGATTTAGGTTCTTCCCCTCCACCTACCATAACTAAACTAATTTTATTGACCTTCTCAAAAAACCAACTTTCATTGCTTTTTCCTTATTTGTTTTATATTGTACTGATTTAACTTCTTTGTTGTTACTGTTATTTCTGCAGCTTGCTGTGGGTTTTATTTGCGCTTTTTCATTTTTCTTATGATACAAGCTGAGGTTATTAATTTGAGAGCATTCTATTCTTTTAAAATAGGCTTTTAGGTTTGGTGCAGTGGCTTATGCCTGTAATCTCAGCACTTTGGGAGGCCAAGTCGGGCAGATCACGAGACCATCCTGGCCAACATGGTGAAACCCCATCTCTACTGAAAATACAAAAATTAGCTGGACGTGGTGGCATACACCTGTAGTCCCAGCTACTCAGGAGGCTGAGGAAGGAGAATCACTTGAACCTGGGAAGTGGAGGTTGCAGTGAGCCAAGATCACGCCACTGCACTCCAGCCTGGCAACAGAGTGAGACTTTGTCTCAAAAATAAAAATAAATAGGCTTTTAGTGCTCTAAATTCTTATCTGAGTATTGCTTTTGCTTGATCCCAAAAACCTTGATGTTGCATGTCAATTGTTTGGGAGATGGGGGAGAAAAAGACAAATTTTGATGTTATGTTTTTATTTCTACTCAGTTATAATTTTCTGTTTTCCTGTTGGTTGCTTCTTTAACCCATGGATTATTTAGAAGTGTTTTTTGTATCTAAATAGTTTCAAAGTTTTCTATATACCTTTCTGTTACTTTTCAATTTAATGTCATTGTTAGACCGTATTTAATGTAATCGATATGGTTGCATTGAAATCTATGTTACTGATTTATCTTTTGTTTTTGGGGGGAGGTTTGGGAACAGAGGATCTCGCTTAGTTGCCCAGGCTAGGAGCAGTGTTGCTATCATAGCTCACTGCAGCCTTGAACTCCTGGCTTCAAACAACCCTTTCACCTTAGCCTCCTAAAGTGGTAGAATTATATGAATGAGTCATCAAGCTTGGCCTTGATTTATCTTTCTTTTCATCCTGCTTTTTTTCTGTTCTTGTTTTCTTCCTTTCCTACTTTCTTGGATTGTGTATTTTGTTGTAGTTGTTGTTGTTGTTGTTGTTGAGGCAGGGTCTCACTCTGTTGCGCAGAGTGGTATAATCTCAGCTTACTGCAGCCTTCACCTCCTGGCCTCAAGTGATCCTCCCACCTCAGCCTTCCAAGTAGCTGGGACTACAGGCATGTGCTACCATGCTTGGCTAATTTTTATATTTATTTCAAAATTACAGGGGTTTTTAAACAGGGTTTCACCATGTTGCCCAGGCTGGTCTCTTAATTATCAATATTGGCATATTATTTCTTTTCCTTGTTCTTCATAGTTACTTTAGGGTTTGTAATATATGTTTAGAAAAAGCTAAAGGAAACTCGTGATCAGAAGAATGGAACACTAGTGCTTATTTTAATTCTCTTTAGTCTTCTTTGTTGTTCCTCAAATGCCTCAAGCATTCCTCTGCTTCTTGGCCTTTGTATTTACTATTCCCTTTCCCTGGAACATTCTTTTGCTGGAGAACAACATATTTTCCTTTGTCTTCTTTCTCTGTTATTTAAATGTTACCTGATCAGAGAAGTCTTTCCACATCATAATACCTAAAATATCTATTTGTTGTTCTTCATACCTTTACTTTTATTTTGACTTTTTTTTTTCTTTATAACACTTGACCATTGCTGGAGTAAACATTGTCTGGATTCCCTGCTTTGTTCTGTTTACCTTTGCATTTCTCCCTCCTCCAACAATGCCTAGTAGTCAATGATTGATCAACAAATTTGATTGATTGATTGAATAAATATTGAATGTGTGATAGTCATTTGTTTGTGTTTTGTACAGTCTCCTTAGAAAAGGTATCTGATTTCTGATTACTGAAAACACACCATTAACTTGCCTTTCAATATGAAATTAAAATTTACTACTCAAAACCCCTTCTTAGATTTTTGGATTTAACCATGGAATACTACCACAAACGTAGCACCTACTATGTATTTGCCCTTTTAAATGCTTCCTGTTAGGCTGTTTTACTACTGATGTCTGAATGGAAATATCCTGGACCACTATGTAAATTTCACTGTCATTCAGAAACAAAACTGTAGGATTAAAGACTAAGCAATGAATTTTAATTATTATATTCTAGTTCCAAAAATTGAGACATGATCTTGAAATGGTACTATCCACTATGGAGTCAAAGAATGAAAAGTTAAAGGAAGACTTAGAAAGGTATGTTAGTATTATAATTACTATTAATCATTCACATATGTTGAAGTAGCGTTTAAAGTTTTATTTGGATATTGCTTGTTTTGTTTTTTCCACGTCGGAAGGGAACAACGGTGGCTGGATGAACAGCAGCAGATAATGGAATCTCTTAATGTACTACACGATGAATTGAAAAATAAAGTTGAAACATTTTCTGAATCAAGGTATTAATTTTATGTTCTAGGTTTCTAAAATAGGAAAAGTATTTTATTTTTTGTGTTACATGAAATACAGATGAATGTAAATTTTACTATGAATCAGGGAGTCTTGCCCTAACTTTTGTCAACTATTAGCAATATGATCTTTTATGAATGACCTGACTGTACCTTTGGTTTCTCTACTTGTTATATAGATGGTATTATTTTCAAAAAGCTAGTTATTTGGTTTGAGCAAATGAAATTTTAACAGTTTTTTATCAACTTTGTGACTAACTGGTTACATGTGCATATGTGTTTTATCAGTCAAATGTTTCTCTTAATTTTTTAAATTTATTAGAGTCTTTAAGGAGCTGAAAACTAAACTGCTTAATGTAAAAGAATATAAGGAGAAACTCTTGAGTACCTTGGGTGAGTTTCTAGAAGGCCATTTTCCTCTGCCTGATGGAAGTGTTAAAAAGAAAAAGGTAAGTTTTAGAGAAGACATTTATGTAGATAATAATTAAAATTATTTTAGGTAGCTTTAAAAGCAAATATTTAGTTTAAAGGTATACACATGTATGGAAATATGCCATTATCACATTATATTTACTAAAAGACTAGAAGCAACCTAATTATTCAATAAAATGGGATTAAGTATATGCATATTTTTTGTGGGATGGGGGACAGAGTCTCACTCTGTCACCCAGGCTGGAGTTCAATGGCATGATTCAGCTCACTGCAACCTCTGCCTCCTGGGTTCAAGTGATTCTCATGCCTCAGTCTTCCTAGTAGCTGGGACTACAGGTGTGCGCCACCATGCCCAGCTAATTTTTTGTGTGTTTTTAGTAGAGAAGTGATTTCATCAAATTGCCTAGGCTGATCTTGAACTCCTGAGCTCAGGCAGTCTGCCTACCTCCGCCTCCCAAGTGGGATGATTAGGTGCTAGGATTACAGGTGTGAGCCACCACACACAGCCAGATTATGTTTTTTATGTTAAATAACCATATGATGGGACTAAGTCAGCTTTTAATACAATGTATTCAAAGAAGTTAAAGAAATACAACTTATTGTTAAATGAATAAAACACCGATGATTAAATTGTTTGAATCTAATTTATGTTAAAAAATTGACAGTGCTTATGTCAGAGCTAGGATTGTAGGTGGGTTTTTTTTTTCTTTTTTTTTTTTTTTGCCTTTCACTATTTTTTCAATTTTCTGTGATGAATATGTGCAACTTTTTAAATCAAAAGAATGATGTTTAAAATTTGTAATAGATTAATGTCAGTTACTATTTGAATACTAGCTATAATGAAATAAACCTTTTCTGAAAAAGCAAATATTTTATTGAGTGACAGAAGATTGTGAACAGTTCTTTAATATATATGATATTAATAAATAAGACTTTTGTAATTGGAATAATCATTGAATAATAATATGTTTAGTTTAATCATTTCAGCATAACATCTTTCATGGCTCCCTAGGGAATGGAGTCTGTAAACTCCTTAGAAATCTCTTCATTAGGATTTATACTATGGATTTCTATCTCCTCATCCTCATCTCCAAGCATTCATCCATCCCTTACATGAATCCATTCAGCTTTGTCTCCAATCATTCTCTCACTTTTTTGTGCCTTATACATTCTATATTTTCTGCCTAGAAAACCCTTCTGATCTGGTGAGGATAGCAGATTCCTACTTAAAATAGTTCAAACATCTTTTGAGTGAAACATTATGAAATTTAGGTGTTCTTTTACTAATTTTTTTTTTTGACAGAGTTTTGCTCTTGTCACTCAAGCTGGAGTGCAATGGCACGATCTTGGCTAACTGGTGCAACCTCTGCCTCAGGTTCAAGCAATTCTTCTGCCTCAGCCTCCCAAATAGCCGAGATTATAGGCGTGCACGGCCACACCCGGCTAATCTTTTGTGTTTTTAGTAGAAATGAAATTTTACCATGTTAGCCAGGATGGTCTCAAACTCCTGACCTCAGGTGATCCACCCACCTCAGCCTCCCAAAGTGCTGGGATTACAGGTATGAGCCACCGCACCCGGCCCAATTTATTTTTAATTTAATTTTATTTTTTGGGACCGAGTCTTGCTGTGTCACCCAGACTAGAGTGCAGTGCTCTGCTCACTGTAACCTCTGCCTCCCGGGTTCAAGTGATTCTCCTGTTTCAGCCTCTCAAGTAGCTGGGACTACAAGTGCATGCCACTATGCCCAGCTAACCTTTTATATTTTTAGTAAAGACAGGGTTTCACCATGTTGGCCAGGCCGTATCTCAGGTGATCTGCCCACCTCAGCCTTCCAAAGTGCTGGGATTACAGGTGTGAACCACCTCATCCCACCTATTGATTCATGTTTTAGAGACAAGGTCTTGCTATGTTGCCCAGGTTAGACTTGAACTCCTGGGCTGAAGCTACCCTCCTGCCTCAGCCTCCACACAGCTGGGACTACAGATGTGAGCTACTGAACCTGGCTCTATGTGTCCTATTTGACACTTGTCAAATGATTTTGTTAGTGTTGTTTTATATCTGTCTCTCCCTTCACCCCCGTGCCCTGTGAGCCACTCGATGTGTTTAATTCTTCTTTGTATCTCTTCTATCTTGCATATCTTTTATATAGAACCTTCTCAGTTCATATTTATTGAATGGATATGAATATATTAGGAAAAAGAGAAAAGTTCTGATTGTTTTTGTTTTTACTATCTGTGTTCTTTTTATTCTTCCCTTTCTTATCTGTGATTGTCTGTTGGCTTTACATTTGTTACGGAGTGTGTCTCCTATTCTATTATTGTTTTTTGCCTCTTACTTATTTGTAAAAGTATGACAGCCTTCTATTGACCATTTCATTAAAATTCATGATTCCTTGCCTCTTAATAACCTTAACCTTGCAACAACTCACTGATGTATTTTCTGGTCCCAGTCTCCTTCATTGTGTTCAACATTTTTTTTTTTTTTAGATGTACCTATTAAGCTCCACTAATAGAACCAGAGGTTTGAGGCATCTTGAAAAGGAAACACTGATTACCATGAGCCACTGTGGGGTTACAAAGTCAGATTTGATAACTTCACTTCTTTTTTATGGTGTATAAGAACTATTGATATGTGTTACAAAGTGATTCTTGTCTCTCTGTTTTTCTCTGTGTGTTTCTCTCTCTCTCTCTCTCTCTCTCTCGCCCCCCTCCCCCCCGTTTTTCTTTCTTTCTCTCCCCAACAATACTGTATGTATTAGTCTGCTTGGGTTGCCATAACAAAATACCACAGACTGGGTGGCTTAACCAAAAGTTTCACAATGTAGAAGCTAGAATTCCAAGATGAAGGGAAGGTACTGTCAGGGTTGGTCTCTGGTGAGGTCTCTCTTCCTGGCTTGTAGATGACCACTTGCTCATTGTGTTCACACATTGGGCTCTTTGTGTACTCAGGAAAAAAAGAATTGTCAAGTGTCTCTTCCTCTCTTTATGAGGAAACCATTCACATTGGATTAGAGCCCATTCTTTTGACCTCATTTATCCATAATTACCTTATTTAAGACTTTATTTTAAAAAACATAGCTACATTAGGGCTTCAGCATATGAATTTTGGGGAGATATCTTTTACTCCACAACACTGGACCTTATAACTCAGATGTATGCAAAGAAGAAAGCTAAAGACAAAACTCCCTCCATCAGATCATTACCATTAGGTGAACCTCACAGTTAGTATTAGGTGAATGTCATTTGAGACATCTTGCTAAGCACATACACATACAGAACCATAAATGGATGGGTTGATGGATGCCTGGATCTATGTAATTTTGTAAGTGCATAATAGTAAATGTAATTTTACTTAACTTTTTTTTTTTTTTTTTTTTTTTTTTTTTTGAGACAGAGTTTTGCTCTGTCACCCAGGCTGGAGTACAGTGGCTGTGATCTCCATTCACTGCAACCTCTACTTCCTGGGTTCAAGCGATTCTCCTGCCTCAGCCTCTTGGGATTACAGTTGCATACTGCCACGCCTGGCTACTTTTTTTTTTTTTTAAATTTTATTTAGTAGAGGTGGGTTTTACTATGTTGCCCAGGCTGGTCTTGATCTCCTGACCTCAGGTGATCCACCTACCTTGGCCTCCCAAAGTGCTGGGATTACAAGTTTGAGCCACTGTACCCAGCCTAATTTTACTTAAATTTGAGAGAAGAAAAAGAATGAGTGAAGTTCAACAGCTGAACTCAGATAAATATTTCTTTGCATCATTTTGGTTCTGGAGAGATCCTTTCAATATAAAGGAAATATGATAGGAAGGAAAGGAATATAATGTAAAGGAAACAAGTAAAGCATGAAAAACATGGAAAATTATAGTTTAACTTCGTATCTCAATTCTAGGCAATTATTAGTTGACTGCTGTGAAAGATAAGAAAATTAACACTGTTTTTCCTATACCTTTATTTCTATTTCGTGTTCTTTTTACTTTGGCAGGTTTATAGCATTTATATTTTATTCAGAAAACACAATTTATATTTAGCCATATTTAGCCTTCATTCTACATTGTATTGGAGTCAGTGCTCGTTATCTTTTACCATACATTTTTGAGTTCTTAAGTTTAATCGATCACTTGGTTTGATGGATTTCGTTCACAAGTAATTTCAAGAATTCTTGTATGTTTTAGTCTTTGGATTCTTGGATGGTATAAATACTTTGTCTTTATACCAGAAGGATATTTTAAGCATATTTTTTTAAATCTCAGGTTTTGTTAGGCATTGCTCCCTGTCTTCTAAAATGGAATGTGGTATAGAGAAATCTGAGGCCAGCCTATAGATGACTTGTTGATTCTGACTGTGTATCTGTAGAGTTCTTTAGCTTTGAACATAAGATAACATAACTTAAATAACATAAGACTATTTCACAATTTTGATTATTCAGTATCAATTTTCATTTGAAAAAGATATGTTCTTTTTTGGGGCAGTTTAGATCACATTTCATTTCATAGAAATTTTCTTTTGTGACCGGGCGCGGTGGCTCAAGCCTGTAATCCCAGCACTTTGGGAGGCCGAGGCGGGTGGATCACGAGGTTGAGAGATCGAGACCATCCTGGTCAACACAATGAAACCCCGTCTCTACTAAAAATACAAAAAATTAGCTGGGCATGGTGACACATGTCTGTAATCCCAGCTACTCAGGAGGCTGAGGCAGGAGAATTGCCTGAACCCAGGAGGTGGAGGTTGTGGTGAGCCGAGATCGCGCCATTGCACTCCAGCCTGGGTAACAAGAGCGAAACTCCATCTAAAAAAAAAAAAAAAAAAATTTCTTTTGTATATTTTTTCTGCATTTCCTTTGATTGTCTCAAGTCCTTATAATTTAATCCGCATCTTGTTTCTCATTTATTAATCAGTTCTGTAATTGTGCTGTCTTCACCACTAATCATATGCTCATTTATACCACTCTTTTCTTTAATAAAGTATTAGGAGAGTTTGAGATCCTCTCTGCTGTCTTTATTCAGGAATCATATTTATTTTTGTTAGTGTTATTTTACTATTTCTTTAAATATATTTGTATTTCTGCAAGGCTTTATAAGAATTTCATGGTAATCTCTGACTGGTATTAGAAAAGTAATAGGTGTCATTGTAGTAAACAACTTTATAATTAATTGAATGTCTGAATTCAAAACCTGATTAGGATTAGTATTATCTTGGAACTTTCTAGCAGTTTCCTTTAGAGTCTGTCCTATTAAACATTTTTAACAATAACTTAGGTAAAGAGTAGAATATGAGCCGGGCGCGGTGGCTCAAGCCTGTAATCCCAGCACTTTGGGAGGCCGAGGCGGGTGGATCACAAGGTCGAGAGATCGAGACCAACCTGGTCAACATGGTGAAACCCCGTCTCTACTAAAAATACAAAAAATTAGCTGGGCATGGTGGCACGTGCCTGTAATCCCAGCTACTCAGGAGGCTGAGGCAGGAGAATTGCCTGAACCCAGGAGGCGGAGGTTGCGGTGAGCCGAGATGGTGCCATTGCACTCCAGCCTGGGTAACAAGAGCGAAACTCCGTCTCAAAAAAAAAAAAAAAAAAAAAAAAAAAAAAAAAAAGAGTAGAATATGTGGCTATCAAAGTTTACAAATTATGTGAAAGTAAGAGAGCTAGATAGTAAATATGTTGGATGACAGAATAAAGACTATATTTCTTAGCTAGTTAGGAAGTAAGGCAAATAGGATGATTTTAAATAGAAATACATAGAATATTTATGTTTAAAACATTACAGAAAAAGACATTTTTAGCTAGATATATGAAAAACACTTTGGCATTTTAGATGATAGTATTCTTAGAAGTCCACAGGGAAAAATAGATGTCTGAAAGATAATACCGTCTTAAATTTAATGAATAGAATTCTAGTCTCCGTAATTATGAAAGTGGGTGTTCTTTTTTTCTTGGTAATCAAATTGCACCTAGGTCATTGTGGGAGACAGGTTGAAGGAAAACAAAAGACTAAATTAGAGCACATTCAGAGAATAACCATGGCATATACAAGCCTCAAATTTATGCCATATGAATAATAATTGAGGTAGGGTGTGGTGGCTCACATCTGTAATCCCAGCACTTTAGGAACTGAGGTGGGAGGATCACTTGAAGCCAGAAATTTGAGACCAGCTTGGACAACGTAGTAGTCCCAGTTACTCTGGAGGCTGAGGTCGGAAGATAGCTTGAGCCCAGGAACTCAAGGCTGCAATGAGTTATGATGGCACCACTGCACTCTAGCCTGGGTAACACAGTGAGACCCTCTCTCTAAAAAAAAAGAAAAAGAAAAATAATTGAAGAAGCAAATGGTGATTAATATGAAGAAGAGAAGACTTGGGCCTTATAATAGCGGTCTTTAAATATTTGAGGAACTCTTGGGTGGAATGGGAATGAGATTTATCCTCTGTCATTCCAAGGAAGAAACAACTAATGAGTTAACATGACAAACTGTCAAGAGCTATAAAGAAAGATTATTAAGTCTCACAATGTCATTTGGGGAATTTTTGTTGAGGGATTTAAATATTAAACTTTCTTTTATATGAATATATATAATGCGTATATCTACTATATCTTTATGGATAGTTTTGTCTCTTCCAGTAACTAGAAAAGTTTTCACTGTCTTAGAAGATATTTCAACTGCATTTTTATGAATCTGACCTAAATACAATGTTACTATCAAAATTTTTTTGTCACTTAATTATGAATATTTGATTTTGGTTACTTTGTACCACTACGAATAAGAAATACTAATTTTTAAAGTCTTGGCCGGGTACGGTGGCTCATGCCTGTAATCCCAGCACTTTGGGAGGCTGATGCGGGCGGATCACCTGAGATCAGGAGTTCGAGGCCAGCCTGGCCAACATGGTGAAACCCCGTCTTTCCTGAAAATACAAAAATTATCCAGGCATGGTGGCGGGCACCTGTAATCTTAGCCATTCGGGAGGCTGAGGGAGGAGAATTGCTTGCACCTGGGAGGCGCAAATTGTGGTGACCTGAGATCACATCATTGCACTCCAGCCTGGGCTCCAAGAACGAATCTCTGTCTCAAAAATAAAATAAAATAAAAGTTTTGTAAATACAGTCTAATATTTCACCATTGGCAGAACTGAAGTGGTAATTATTTGTTGTTCACATTTCTCTCAAAGAAAAACATTCAAGAATCAACTATACAGCTGATAACACTGCATGAAATGTTAGAGGTAAGTGTCTTATGTAGTTTGTTTTGTCTTGAAGCTGTCTCAGTCATTGTGAACAATTATACTGAGGCTCGAGAAACAAAAAATACTGCTTTAGTTCTTAAGTATTCATCAATCTTTATTAAATATATTTATTATAATGTATCTTGGTATAAAATTAGTTTCTGTCCATTGTATAATACTGAGAGGAATACTGTTATTTTTTCAAAATAATCAGAATTTAAAGTCTGTCTCTTAATCATATTCCCAAGATTTATTACAGGTAAAATGTTTGTCTAGGTATGAGCTGACAGGGTGAAAAAAGTTTTTTTAATGATGTTATCTAATATTTACATAGGGAAATCCTATGCTGTTACATCAACTCTAATTGGTAGCTCTGTGCTCTATATAAAATACATAATAAACATAAAGATTCCATCCACAAAATTGTAGAAATTTTACAGTTTTTCTTAAATAACATCAGTCTCTTTTCTCATAATGTAAGTACTGAATTTTCCAACTTTTTCTGATTTGACATGTACCTTGTTTGATAAATATCTTTGACCTTTTCAAAAATGTTTTTCAACCTCAACCATATATTATCAATTATATTGAATACTTTGGAAGATCTTGATATGACAATTCATGACAAATTGGGCAGAGAGGAAAATGAAATGGTGTATGAAGAACAGGATATTTACCAATTAGTGTACCCCCTTTTAAGGTCATTGATAAATTTTGAAGAAAGAGCGAATTTCGGAAAACGTGTTTCATTTAACTTAAGAAACTAGGTGTTAAAATCTCTTTTTGGCCAGCTGATTCGTTTTGGTTCCTCAGGATTTAATACAGAATATTATTGCTTTGAAAAGAAAATACAAATACTTATTAGATTCATAATTAGAATCTTTTAACATATTTCTAGCTAGTCTAGTTTATACTGAAGCTAAGATGACTAGTGTTTCTCATGGATTACTTAACATTTTTTTTTTTTCTAATAAAAATTGTCAGTCATGGAAATACTGAAAGGTATTACGTGTAATTTTTGAGTAGGGTACCTAGTATGAACCACATGTGTTAGGCCATTCTCATGTTGCTGTAAAGAAATACCTGAGACTGTATAACTTGTAAAGAAAAGAACCTTAATTGGCTCATGGTTTGCAGGCTGTACAAACATGACACTGGATCTACTCAGCTTCTAGGGAGGTCTAAGGGAGCTTTTACTCATGGCAGAAGGTGAAGCAGGAACAGCCAGTCACATGGCCAGAGTGGGAGCAAGAGGGAATGGGAAAGGTACCACACACTCTTTTAAACAACCAGATCTTGTGAGAACTCATTATCATGAGGACAGTATCAAGGAGATATGCCAAAGCATTCATGAGAAATTCATCCTTCTGATCCAGTTACCTCCCACCAGGCCCCACCTCCAACATTGGGGATTACATTTTAATATGAGATTTGGCAGGCGACACACCTAAACTATATCAGCATATAAAACTTAGCATTAGAATCCTAAGTTTGTCTTCAAGGCTCATATTGTCAGGAATAAAGGAACTAATATTAAAACTGCAGTTAGGTTAAAAATAAAAATATAATTAAAATTAGAAATGCAAAATAGGAAAGATTTGTCCTAAAATAAGTACTAAAATAATCCATTGTTTTAAAATACAAATAATATTTAATTCTTTATCATGATACTCAAATGAGGACAGAGCTGTTTTTCCCACAGGATATGGGACTTGAAATAATTAATGATAGTTGAAAAATTTATTTCAATAAATGAGATATTGATACAAAATGTAATCAAGATTAGAGCTTGATTAATTAATTTTATCTCTATGGCACTTTATAATTGTATAAATTATGCATTTTCTTTTCCATGTTCCTTAAAATAATAGCATCTTTCAGTTAAAAATTTGGCCTGACAATTCAGAGATACAGAGTCTAATCCAATATCCACCACTGCTTATGGGCCCCTGAGGAATCTCTTAACTCCTTTGGGTTCTAGTTTTGTAATTTGTGAAGACACTGTAAGATAACAAAGGAGGCAAAATAATAAATTATCTACATTTAGCATTTTTCACTGTTTCATAACATTAGTATTCAAAGAATTGTAAATTTTTTTTCTTGAAAAAATTTTTATAATGGCATTGTATTTGGGAAAGACAGCCGATTCTCGATTCACATTAGCAAGCTTTCCCAGGCTTATTGGATCACAGAACCCTGTTTTTCAGGAAGTAAGAACATCTTTAGGGAGTCCAGTTCTATAGAATGCAGTCTGGATCATGCTAGCCTATAGAATTTAATGCAAATACTCAAAAAACTTCTCAATTTGTGATTGTAATTCCACTGTATCCTCAGTGAAGAAATCAGGGATACTCAGAATGAAGTTGAAGGAAATGATGATAAAATTGACTCTTTTGAAGATTTGTCAGAAGAATAGATGTTTTGTGGGGGGTAGGAGTAGTGATTTTTTCTTCAAGTAAAAAGACACATTTGTTCCCTTTCTTTTTAACTTTTTGTGTATTTTGTTAAATATTAATTTTTTTTTAAGATTTTTGTCTTTATCCTAAAGAAGATAACGAATCCCAAGAGAAGTGGGAGAATTGTACATTCTGTCTAACCAATTTTTAGGAAATGTTTTCAAATTTTAAGACGCAAAAATTCACTTTCAAGCTTTTTTCATTCTCTAATATCCATAGTTCTTTAAAAAAGGAAATTCAAATTTGTAGATTAAAAGTTCTACATAAACAGTTAATGAAAGAGAAAAGAGGTCAGTATTCTTTGAAAAAAAACTTATTACAGCTAAATTGTCTTTTTCCCAAGTAAAGTATACTTTGAATGATATTTTCTCCTAGATTCTTATAAATAGATTATTTGATGTTCCACATGATCCATATGTCAAAATTAGTGATTCCTTTTGGCCACCTTATGTTGAGCTGCTTCTGCGTAATGGAATTGCCTTGAGACATCCAGAAGATCCAACCCGAATAAGATTAGAAGCTTTCCATCAGTAAAAGGATGTTTTCTTTTTTCACGCAGTAAAAAATCTTAACATTCAAGTATATTGGAACCACAGGACTATTTGGATAAAAAACATTATTTGCAAATTAATTCACATAGTCCATCTTCCTTTTATTGTTAAATGACACATGCTGCCATCTGTTATTCACTTTTACATTGTCCTTTCTTATTCAGTCAGTGCTTTGGTGTTTTTAATTATATGGATAAGAATGCAGGTAGATACTGTTCTAGATATAAAACATTTAATATACCTTATGCAATATTCTTCAGAAAATTATTTGCTAATTTATAATATTGCCAGTATTTTCTTAAGAAGTATAACAATACCTTTTATGCATTTTAAGTTCCAATTGGTTCTTTATATTTAGAAATTATAATGGGAAGGTCATTTAATTTGCAGATGGTTTTAAAATTGAGGTAATATCTGATGTAGAATGTGGCATGATTTAAAAATACTTAACAAATTAGTTTCATATGTACTGCCTTATTTCTAGATTTGTTTAAAATTGAAATATGAAAAATAATGGATAAAGCCAACATAAAATTGATATTTTAGTTTGTATTACTAATATACCGTGTGACCTTAATGTTAGTCTACTCTGATTCTGCTAATTATTACCAACAAAATTGTATTCATGACATTTTATTAATCCTCTGTGAATTTTCTGTAAATAAAATTATTTCTAAAAATCTCTAGCTATTGGTGATGTGACATATTTTTATAATTAGAAAATATTTTTTAAAGGTAGATAAGATATAGGACTCATTTAGTATTACATAAAAGCTAAACTAGAGAATCCTAAATCCATTTAGTATCACTAGTTCCTAAGAGAAACTTCTGTTTACTTTTTTACTTGAAAGTGCTTTCTGCTGTATATTATCCAGGTTTCTTGCTTATCTTAATTACTTCCTCTTTTCTAAAGTAAACAAATAATATTCCAATATACCAAATCCCTCTGTAGAAAATGCAAGTACTATTATATTTTAGGGCATGTAACTCTTTTAGGGGAAGATGATACATAAAGTACCTCCGAGAATACTCCAGTTAAATATTGAAGACGGGAGCAACTTTTTACTCTTTGAAGTTGCTGGAGAGAGAAGAAATGGCAGTGTAGATCTGACAAGAATTCTTTAGCAAAGATGGTACTGTTGTTTATGAAGCCCTAGCAAAACACTTTTGGTGTTTGCTAATTGAAAACGTTAAAAATACGCAATCTGGCCGGGCGTGGTGGCTCACACCTGTAATCCCAGCACTTTGGGAGACCAAGGTGGGTGCCGAGGTCAGGAGTTCAAGATCACCCAGGCCAACATGGTGAAATCTCATCTCTACTAAAAATACAAAAAATTAGCTGAGTATGGTTGTGCATGCCTGTAATCCCAGCTACTTGGAGGCTGAGGCAGGAGAATCACTTGAACCTGGGAGGCAGAGGTTGCAGTGAGCCGAGATCTCACCACTGCACACCAGCATGAGTGATGAGCAAAACTCCGTCTCAAAAGAAAAAAAATGTAATTCTTATACTTGCAATGCCTATCAATAGACTGTATTTTTCTAAAAGTTTTTTTTTTTTTGAGGCGGAGTTTCGCTCTTGTTACCCAGGCTGGAGTGCAATGGTGCGATCTCGGCTCACCGCAACCTCCGCCTCCTGGGTTCAGGCAATTCTCCTGCCTCAGCCTCCTGAGTAGCTGGGATTACAGGCACGCGCCACCATGCCCAGCTAATTTTTTGTATTTTTAGTAGAGACGGGGTTTCATTGTGTTGACCAGGATGGTCTCGATCTCTTGACCTCGTGATCCACCCACCTTGGCCTCCCAAAGTGCTGGGATTACAGGCTTGAGCCACCATGCCCGGCCTCTAAAAGTTTTTATGGGTATGTCAATATGCCACCAGTTGCTAAATGTAGTGTACTAAATACTTTATTGCATTTTATGACATGTTGACTCAAAAATTAATGGAAAGTTGCATGCTAATAGCTTACTTTTAATATTCTTAATACTTTCCCTAGTTTATTGTTTATCTTCCAACTTTGTTTTGATGGAATCCTGCTTTTTTTTAGCATGTAGAGATGAAAAATTTTTAACAGTTTTGATTATACAAAAAATTAATGCAGATAATAGAGATAAAACTGAAATTTCCTTTGATATTTCCTAACTCCTCTCTGCCTGGGATAACCACTGTTTGATGCGTGCTATTATTTTTCATGTTACATTATCATTCTCTTCTGCCATTTGACTGTGTTCAGAAGTTCATTCATTTTAATGAATCTTGTTTCCAATTAATCAGAGAGCCAATTCACATGATGGTGAATTGTTATATATCTGTTTAATCCTGGTAAGAGAGCAGAGACAATGGAATCATACAAGATGCTGAATTAAATTTAGACAAGGCAGAAAAGTGGAAGATAAAAGAACAAAAGAAAAGCAATTAATAGAAAACATTAACAAATATAGTCCTTTATATCAGTTAGTTTAAATATGAGTTGCCTAAATGCACAGATACTGTCACAATGGATTAAAAGGCAAGACTAAAAAGAAAACCACTTTAAAGATGGAGAAAGTTACATCATGTGTTAGGGACTGAATGTTTATGTTCCCCCTTGCTCCCCAAATGTATATGTTGAAACCCTAACTCCTAGTGTGATAGTATTTGGAGATAGGGATCTTGGAAGATAATTAAGGTTAGATGGCATCATGACTAACATAAATAAGGTTAGTACCTGTATAAGAAGGGACATAGAAAGCTTGCTGTCTTTGCCATGTGAGAATGCAACTAGAAGGTAGCTGTCTGCAAATGAGAAAGAGAGCCTTCCCAGAAGTTGACTATGCTGACACCCTGATCACAGACTTTCAGTCTTCAGAAATTTGAGTAAATGAAAATTTCTGTTGTTTAAGATACCGAGTGTATGGTATTTTGTTATGGTAGCCTAGATAAACTATCATATCAAACTACATTCATCAAAAGAAAGCTGGAGTAGCTATATTAATTTCATACAAAGCTGACTTCAGAACAAGGAAAATGAATAAGGGTTATGAGAGGCATCATATAGTGATAAAGGGGTAATTAACATTAAAAAAAAAAATACCATAAGGCCAGGCGCGGTGGCTCACGCCTGTAATCCCAGCACTTTGGGAGGCCGAGGCGGGTGGATCACGAGGTCAAGAGATCGAGACCATCCTGGTCAACATGGTGAAACCCCGTCTCTACTAAAAATACAAAAATTAGCTGGGCATGGTGGCGGACGCCTGTAGTCTCAGCTACTAGTGAGGCTGAGGCAGGAGAATTGCTTGAACCCAGGAGGCGGAGGTTGCGGTGAGCCGAGATCACGCCATTGTACTCCAGCCTGGGTAACGAGCGAAACCCCGTCTCAAAAAAAAAAAAAAAAAAGATACCATAGAAAGTATGTCTTTACAAGGGAATTAAACTAGAAATAAATAATGAAAATACCTGGAAAATCCCCAAATATTTTGAGATTAAGGAACAAGCTTCTAAACACATGGGTCAAAGAAGTGTCAAGAGAAAATACATTTTGAACTAAATAAATAAAAATACAAGTTATCAAAATTTGTGAGATGCAGCAAAAGCAGTGGCTAGAGGGAAATTTATAGTATGGAATGCATATATTGGAAAACGTGAAGGATCTAAAATCAGCATGCATCTACCTTAGGAAATTAGAAAAAGAAGAGCAAATTAAATCCAAAGTAAGCAGAAGAAATAATAGAATAGAAATCAATAAAATTCAACCCAAAACAATAAATTCAATGAAACGAATGAAATTCAATGAAAAGTTGAAATTTATAAAACTTTTTGTCATACCAAAAGAAAAAGCAAAAATTACTGAAATCAGAAATGAAAAGAGGTGACTTTATTACTTTTCTCATGAACATTAGGACATTAGAAGGATAATAAAGGGATATTATCAGCAACTCTGAGTGTGCAAATTTGATAACAGATGAAATGGACCAATTCTGTGAAACCTCACACAAGGAGAAATAATGACTTTGCATAAACTTACAAAATAAATTCAATTATGTGCTTCCAAAACAAAGCATTGGTCTCAGATGGTTTCACTAGCGAATTCAACATTCAAGGAGAAAGTGATGCCAATTTTGTACAATCTGTTTTAGAAAACAGAAGCAGAGGAAATGCTTTAACATATACTGTGAGGCCACATAACCCTGATAACAAAATTAGGTAAAGATATTACAAGAAAGGGCAACCACAGACCAGTATCTCTCATGAACATAGCTATAAAAATTCTCAACAGAATATTAGCAAATCTAATACAACAATATATAACAAAAAATATATACCATAGTCAAGTGGGATTTATTTCAGGTATGCAAGGCTAGTTCAACGTTGAAATCAGTTCATATAATTTATTACATTATCACACTAAAGGAGAAAAGTCATATGACTATCAATAGATACGGATAAACCATTTGACAAAACCAACACCTATTTATGATAAAGACAGACAAAATTATCAACCAGCTAGGAATATAAGGAAATCCTCAACTTCATAAAGAATATCTACAAAAAACCCTACAGCTAACATACTTAATGGTGGGACATCAGATGCTTTCCATCTAAGAACAGAAACAAGGCAAGTAGATCGCATCATTCCTATTTAATGTTGCACTGGAAGCTCTTGCTAATGCAGTAAGACAAAATTCCTGTGTCTCAATGAAAAATAGTTTGGAACTAAAATCTGAATATAGCAAGTTTACAGAGAATGTATGATTCATACACATTCAATTGCCTTCTTATATATACCACGGATGAACATTTGGAATTAGAAATTTAAAACATTTACATTAGCACCAAAAGACAGTAGAGAGAGAGAGAAGAAAGAAAGAAGGAAGGAAACCCCCCCCCCAAAAAAAAAAAAACCTTTGTACAAGATCTACATAAGGAAAACTACAAGTCTCATGAAGGAAATTGAAGATAGAAATAAACAGAAGGATATTCCATGTTCATGGATAGGAAGACTAAATATTGTTAAGGTGTTATGTCTTCCTAACTTTATCAATAGACACAATGAAATCTCAGTAACAATCCCAGCAAGGTTCTTGTGCATATTGACAAAATTTTAAAGTTAATGAGGGAAAGACCCAGAATAGCTGCCAAGATTTTTAAGAAAAACAAAGTTGGAGGACTGACACTGACTGGTGATGAGTTTTTAGCTACAACACCAAAAGCATGATTCATAGAAGAAAACAGTAAGTTGGACTTTATTAAAAATTTAAAAAGCTGCTCTGTGAAGGACACTGAAAATGAAAGGATATGCCACAACCTGGGATAAGAACTTTGCAAAATATATCTGATAAAGGATTTGTATCCACAATATACAACGAACTCTTAAAACTCTACAATAAGAAAAACCAATAAAAAAGTAGGTAAAATATCTGAGCAGGCACCTCACAAAAGAAGATACAGCAAATAAGCATGAAAAAGTTGGTTTAACATCGTATGTCATTAGAGAATTGCAAATTTGAATAATGAGATAACCACTACATGCCTACCACAAGGCTAAAATTAAAATATAGTGCTAAAGGCTGACGAGGATGTGGAGCAACAGGAACATACAGCCACTTTGTGCTACAGTTTGACAGTTTTTTTTACAAAGCTAAGTATGGGCTTACTGTAAGCATACGTTGAAGATACTGTGGGTTTGGTTCCAGACAATAAGCCACTTTTT